GAATCTGTAGTTGAGGTTAATGTTAGATAAAACCTAAGTTTTACCGTTTTTCTTATTCACACGATTTCAGAAAATTGTCAGTTTGACCATTTGACAAAACACGTCGAATGGATCACCAGAGTTTTAGACTTAAATTTTGTAGGGAGTGGCACAGATTTAGTTGGCCACTCTCCAGCCATTTTTAGAATGATTTTTACTATTAAATAGGAGATTTGTTCAGAAAATAAAACAATCCGAACGCAGTCAAAATTCAGTTAATTTTCTCTCTCTTTTTTGTTACTCATTTTCTTCCAACACCCAATTTCCTCTCACCGAAATTCTGCGAAAAGCAACAAGTGGTATCAGAGCCCAGGTTGAAGATCGGTGTATATCATTGCAGAGGAGCCAACCTATCAACACACAAGTTGAATAGCTCAAGTGGTTAGAGTTTTGACCTAATATCACAAAGGTCTCAGGTTCGAGTAGAAGAAAATGCGAAGTGTCAAAACACACACATCGTGGGGCCTCATCTCGGGCAGGCTCACTCACTCCTCCACACCGTCGCCGTGTGCCACATCTCCATCACCGCCACCACGAAGAGGCCAACGCTGTGATGATGGGCGTCAAGTTATCGTTGAGCGAGAGTGATCAGGGAGACAACGACTGTCGTCTTTCAGTATCCAATATTGACAAAGTCCAATTATAACGAATGGATCTTGTTGATGCGCGTCAACCTACAGGCGCAAGGGTTATGGCATGCTGTTGAGCTAGAGGAAGGAGAAACGATTGAGTACCGTGAGGATGCCCCCAGAGATGCTGGCATCTCTCTCCACCAAGCACACCGCGCAATCGGCTTGGGAGGGAATCAAATCCCGTCGGGTCGGTGTACAGCGAGTGCGGGAATCCAATATCGAGCAGTTGCGGAAGGATCTCTCGAAGATCCACTTCAAGGACGGTGAATCCGTCGATGATTTTTCAATGCGGATCACGGGGCTCGCCAACAACATCACCACACTCGGTGGCAGCATCAGCGAGACAGAAATCGTGAAGAAGATGCTGCAGGTTGTCCCTGATCACCTCGAGCAAGCGAGACAACACCTACAGGCGCAAGGGTTATGGCATGCTGTTGAGCTAGAGGAAGGAGAAACGATTGAGTACCGTGAGGATGCCCCCAGAGATGCTGACATCTCTCTCCACCAAGCACACCGCGCAATCGGCTTGGGAGGGAATCAAATCCCGTCGGGTCGGTGTACGGCGAGTGCGGGAATCCAATATCGAGCAGTTGCGGAAGGATCTCTCGAAGATCCACTTTAAGGATGGTGAATCCGTCGATGATTTTTCAATGCAGATCACGGGGCTCGCCAACAACATCACCACACTCGGTGGCAGCATCAGCGAGACAGAAATCGTGAAGAAGATGCTGCAGGTTGTCCCTGATCACCTCGAGCAAGCGAGACAACATCGCCGCAAAGACCGTGAAGAAGATGCTGCAGGTTGTCCCTGATCACCTCGAGCAAGCGAGACAACATCGCCGCAAAGACTGTAAGAAGCCATGGATCTCCCACGGGTGCATGCGCGGGAAAGATGGGAATCAAAAGAAGGAGTCGACCAATGGCAGGCCGATCTGCTCGAACTGTGGGAAGAGAGGACACCTAAGCAGGAATTGCTGGAGCAAGCTTAGGAACAAGGAGAAGGCCGAAAAGGCCCATGTGGCTCAATCCGAGGAGGACGAGCCAGCTCTTTTCATGGTAAGTGCATGTGTCCCCATTGTCGATTCCAAATCCACGAAAATGGAGGTAATCAACAACGATGTTGAACTCGAGAAAGAGCCCCAGCTGGGCGTAGCAAAGGTGGCACCAGCTAGGGAGCCAATTCAACTAGAGGAGGAGCGAGTGTTTGCTCAGATCAGCGAGCGGGACGAGCAACACAAGGACCGGCGATGGATCCTAGACACAGGGGCAACAAACCATATGACCGGGGCTAGATCTGCATTCTCCGAACTCGACTCGGGGATCCGCGGGACGGTGAAATTCGGCGACGGATCCGTCATCGAGATCGAAGGACGCGGCACCATCCTATTCGCCAGCAAGGGAGGCGAGCATCGCAAGCTGACCGACGTCTACTTCATCCCGAGGCTCAAGGCTAACCTTGTGAGCCTGGGTCAACTCGATGAGACAGGCTGTTTCATCTCCATCGAACGCGGACTACTCAAAATTTGCAATAATCAACGACCGCTGCTCACACAAGCAAGGCGCACGACAAACCGTCTTTACATCCTGGAGTTAGAGATAGAGCAACCTGTCAGTCTCTCGGTCAAGACCGAAGAGGTATCTTGGAGGTGGCACGCAAGGTACGGGCATTTAAACTTTCCTGCTCTAGAAAAACTACAGAAGGAGGAGTTAGTGCACGGTTTGCCAGCAATCAAAGGTGTGAACAAGCTGTGCGACGGGTGCCTCATCGGCAAACAGAGGCGCACACCCTTTCCGTCTCGAACATCCTATCGAGCCGATGAGCCGTTGGAGCTTGTACACGGCGATATCTGCGGGCCCATCAAGCCGGCGACCCCAGGCGGTAAGAGTTTCTTCCTCCTGTTAGTCGATGACAAAAGCCGCTTCATGTGGCTGACCCTGCTGCAAGCGAAAAGTGAGGCGGCAGAGGCGGTTAAGTGCATTAAAGCGCGAGCGGAGGCCGAATGTGAGAAGAAGATGTGAGTGCTGCGCACAGACCGAGGCAGAGAATTCACCTCGACAAGTTTCGGTAAGTACTGTGACGAAATCGGCATACAACGGCACCTAACGGCGCCCTACTCCCCCCAACAGAACGGAGTGGTGGAGCGCCAGAATCAGACCATCGTCGGGACAGCAAGGTCATTGTTGGTGACGGCCAGGATGCCTGGGAGATTCTGGGGAGAGGCAGTAATGACGGCCGTATATCTCCTCAATCGGTCACCAACCCGAAGCCTTGACGGGAAGACACCATATGAGGCCTGGTACAACAAAAAACCAGCGGTACATCATTTTTGCGTGTTCGGCTGCGTCGCTTACATGAAGGTAACACGTCCCCACTCGCCAAGCTCGATCCTAGGGGGCTGAAGGTCGTTTTTATCGGCTATGAACCCGGGAGCAAGGCGTACAGACTATATGATCCTGTAGGGGGGCGAGCTCACGTGTCTCGCGACGTCGTCTTCGATGAAAGACCCTTATGGCAGTGGAATGACGTGATCGAGGCAGACCATAATCCAAATCAATTTACGGTGAAGTACCTCATCACCGAGCCGGAAGAAGGAGGAGCCCAGCATCAGCAGCCGTCACCGCCGCCAGCAGGTGCAATGCCTGAACCAGTGGAATTCACAACACCACGGACTGCGGATTCGACGTTGGATGCCGATCACGATACTAATCTGGAGGCCAGGTACCGGAGGATGGACGACCTAGTAGGAGGAGGTGAACCACCTGGACTGGCAGTGTGCGAGCTCAAAGAAGTGGCCGAACTACATGCCATCAGTGCAGATGAACCGAACACCTTCGCCGAAGCAGAAAAGAACCCGTGCTGGCTGAAGGCAATGCAGGAGGAGATGACATCCATCACCGAAAATCAGACGTGGAGTCTGGAGGATATGCCGCCGGGACACCAAGCCATAGGGCTCAAATGGGTCTTCAAACTGAAGCGCAACGAAAAAGGAGAAGTTGTGAAGCACAAGGTTCGTCTGGTGGCGAAGGGCTACGTCCAGAAGCAAGGAGTGAACTTCGAAGAGGTATTTGCGCCAGTGGCAAGGTTATAATCCGTTCGTTTCTTACTTGCAATTGCAGCACATTACTCTTGGGAGGTTCACCATATAGACGTAAAGTCTGCTTTCCTTAACGGAGAGCTGAAGGAGACTGTTTATGTCCGACAACCACCTGGCTTCCTGGATAACAACAACCCCAATAAAGTATTGCGCCTGCACAAGACACTCTACGGGCTTCGACAAGCTCCACGAGCCTGGAACACGAAGCTCGACAGTACCTTACTGTCACTGAAAGTTTGGAGTCCCCCAAAAACGTTACCCTTTAGAGCTATACTATTTTATACAAATCAGACTACTCAAACTATTAATTACTCCTTATACTAATAAACTTTTACACACACTCACACAAAAAGACATATTTTTATATAAACATATACATACTCACATAATTAGGCTCGGTCTCTAGTATCATTCAATATAGAACACGGTCACGTCTCAGGGAAGTGGCGCATGAGTTAGATATAACTTATGAAATCATCCCACGATAGATAATACGTTCATATGATTGAGAGCGATACGTTGACTCTATTAACGCCGTTCTTCAGATAAGGTAGTTGGAACCATGCTTTTACGCCCGACTACTCTGATGCTGAAGGAGACTTGATCACACATTACATCCTAGAGACCACGATAATAATACCGGGTGAGTTATCCTCTTTAACATTCATGGGATGCGAATTACAAGGACAGTTAGATGCTTTGTATTCCACTACAACCCTTCCATTGGATGGGGATTAGAATAACACACTCCGGTGAGTTATCAAACAGCCTAGACGACGTAGAGAACACTTTAGCTGGTAGCGTATCCTCCTTCTATCCTACTTTTGGAGTGGTGCCTAATCCTCTTTTTGGAGTGGGACCGAATTTCCCAATTTCTGTATAATACGCAGTGCAAATTACCCACATCACTTAAGAGGATTCACTAATTGAATTACAAGGACTGTTAGATGCTTTATATTCAAATACTACACATCCATAGGAAGGGGATTATAATAACTAACTATGGAGAGTTATCAACCTACGTTGAAGCCGTAGAGAATGAAATGATGGTTAACACTTTAAACATTTTCAGTATAAGAAGCAGTGACAATTACCCACATAACTTCAGAGGATTCACTAATCGAATTACGACGCCAGTTAACTGCTTTATATTCAACTACTACCCATCCATAGGAAGGGGATTATAATAACTTACTCTGGCGAGTTATCAACCTGCGTAGACGCTGTTGAGAATTCAATTATGAGGATTCACTCCTTGAGTTGGAATACCTATTACCCCACAAGCCTTATGAGGATTAACTCCTTGAGTGGGAAAGCCTATTACCCAACATGCCTTATGAGGATTAACTCCTTCTTTCACAATGTGTAGAACAGGAAAATTCAATTGCCTTAGTTCTAAAACAACCAATAAATATATAAAATTAATATTAAACGAACTAAGGCAATTGAATTTTCCTGTTCTATGAATGATTTCAGCTCACTCCTACGTGGTTTGAGTGCTGTGATATGGGTTGGATAGCGACTATGCGTACCATGTTTGATCTTTCTTGCAGTAATAGGCTCCTCGATCTCACTCAATTTTCCTTCAATGATTGAAGAAAGTGTGTTATATCTCTCCTCCTCAGAGGGAGAAGGCCTATCCTCTTCCTTCTTTTTGCTGTCCATATAGACTCGGATCATGAGTCGAACTATATAATCTCCGTCGTATACTTCAGCATATTTCTGAATATATCGAGATATATGAGCATAGACATCACTTTTTGGAATTAACTTACAATCCATATAAGTGAGGGGTATAGCCTGACAAAGCGTAAATGTGATCTCCTCCCCGAAAGAAAGAGCGCTTCATGGTTAAGGAAATTGTGAACTTACCGTAACCTGATAAGGAAGGGTAAGCTAACTGGTTTAAGAGATCCATGGTTGTAAGACTAAGTAGCGCAATCTCGTTAACAAGAGGGTATGGCTCATTGAAGTAATATGATGCTATTATTAAACCAGGATGAGGTTCATGGTATGCAGTTCGTTCTATCTTTTGAAATAAGCGATTCAATAACTGTTCAGTAGTAGCATTGATAGTTTTATTTTTGTACGCCATCATTCTTTTTTTATTCATTATCAATAATGGACGCAGAAAGAATTCTTCAATTTATATGAAAATTGATTCCACTTTTCTTCATGTGATTTCCATGATTCATAATCACTATTATTTTCACCGCACACTTTTTTCACATAGTGACTGTAACAAGTGACTATTTCATTTATCTTTTTATCCCAAAGAATCTGGTTCTGCTTACTTATATTCTCAGGAATATTTTTAAATTCAGTAAGATATTCCTTGGAAATAACATGATTTTCGTAATCAAATGAATTTATACATTTAAGATTTTCAATAACATTTATATAGATGAACTTGTTAATGATTGAAAGTGGAGGGCCCAAGCTATGAAAGATTTCGAGATAAGCCATTGGAATAAATCGGCTTTTCTCAACAGTTGTTATAAAGTTGTCGTGGACAGGAGCATTACAATTCAGCATTTCTTCAACTACTTTCATAGCAATAAAGGCATCCTTCTGATGGATGAAATTGACGAAGGTAGAGATCTCTGTCTTCCAACGATCTCTCTTAGAAGAAGACACTCGGAGAGTAACCCGACGCCTCTTCTTATGAAGTCGGTCATATACCCATATATAAGTTGACTCCATTTTCATATAATCCTGAACACTTGTAAAGTAACTAACATTATATTTAACAGCACTATCCCTAGAAGACGCGACCCAGCCTATAAGACGTATCAACCTGATCAGGCATTCCATTCCTGGATATTTTTCTTTGAAGAACTTAAAGCAGACAGAGGCCACATTGAAGCATTCCTTACTCGTAAGGTGTTGAGAGAAATGTACCATCAGATCGGTTGATGTGCTCATTACAGTTTTTCCATAGATAATTGGCATAAAGATTGATTTAACAATCTTACGAGAGAGGTGTTTGCAAACAACCGAACATAAATTTGGATCAAGTTCTTCTTTCATGAACTCCTTGAGCTCAGCGAGGAAGTACAAATAAACATCTTGGATTTGATTTGGATTATCCAGAGATAGGAAGAGATTTGTTCTCTCAGCCAGGCTCTCATCCAATAAAAAGTAACTCATAATCTTATATGCACTTGATGCAGCGTCCTGGGTAATAGGGACAAAGTCTTTTAAAAACTGAAATTTGTGATTTAGCATTGCATAAATATTGGCTGCAAACTGAAAAGGCCGTTTAGCCAACGTTATGTTTTGAGATATAATTTTATTGTCTTTGTTATTAAAATCGTTGATAAAATCCACTGCTTCAACCATTGAGTTAAAGACTTAAAATGGAAGAATGTTGATAAGCTAATTTCATCTCTTATATAAGAATTACACTTTATCTCCTCCTTCTGATGATTATGATCAGCAAACACAATCAGGCTTCGTGCAAGATCACACTCGTGAAAATGCAAAATACCACAGCGATAAATTCTACCTCTGAAGTCAAGAAAGGCGGGTAGATAAAATTTATAGCCATCGTAGGCTCTTGCGAGATTGAGAATTAATCGTTCATAGCGTGAACGCTGGATAGTCTTAATCACTGTATGTAACAAATCGTTAAAGGAAAATTCATTGTATATTTCCTCATCCTTCATGTGGAAATCTCTAAGAATGGGGCTAACATCTCTGATATTCATCGTTTCCAGAAATTGTGGCATAAGAAGACCATCGTCAACAAAATAGTCTTCATTTTCCATTAAATGGTTCAACCAATCACGGTTGATTGTAAAGGGCTGACGCTGCAGGGCATTCATGACTTTACACATAGACTTGTAATCATTCTTATAATAAGAAGAATAACCTATATATATATAAAAGTGATTTAGGTCACCAGAACATAATAAGCGGTAACGATCATAAATCTCACCAGTCGGTCCACTTAGGTAACCCCCTGATAGATCTGAGAGATATCTAGGAGATTGATTCGGCGGACACGCACTCATCCAATCAAGAGGTGGGCATATCATAGGAAGGTTGAGCTTGATGGGAAGTAAAGTAACATCAAAATTACAGACAATGAATAGATTGCTTTCATAATAATAGCCACCTTTCGACTTTTTCTTAACACCACTACCAAAGGATTCCATTGTAATAGAACTTACCAATCCCCGCTCCTCTATAAACTCGAGTAAGAAGACACCGAAGGAAAAAGTCTCAGACTTTTCCATTTTATCAGACATATGAACATTAGAAATGCTCTTTTTAGAGGAGTGGGATTTTAATAACCTAGAATGTGTACGTACAGAAGAGTCGAGTTGATTAATTAAAGAAGCTGCACAAACCATACTTTCATATGTGTTGAAAACAATTCCCAGAACGTGAATAATTAATGCCTCTAGAGTATATTGACCCAACTCTTCAAGCATTTTTATGTCATCATCATCAGCTAATTTCTCAATTATATAATCCTTTGCACTCAATTTATCCTTCTGTATTAAGATTTTAATAAAGTTAAGAACAACATTATATATTAAACTCTCGTCGAACTTCATACTGTCATCTTCTATTTTCTGTTGTAGCTGACGTAATTCAATTTTCGATAAAGGAAACTTTATTTATATTCTTCCATAAGATTCAATACTGACAGTTTATACAATTGTGATTTGCTCCTCTTAACGTCTTCTCCCGGAAATTTCAATTTATTTTTTTCCTCTAAAGAAGTATAAAAATGATTTAAAAATACGATTAGCTCTTGAGAATTTTTTTGCTTAGAATTCAAAAACGCTAAAATCCATTTATTTTGCATTGTGTTATTTTTTGTTATTGTTTTTCCTCATTGTTGGTTTATCGAACACTGGGTATTAGATAAGATGTGTAAAGCATGTGTGATCCTGTCTCGCGAAACAGTACCTCCCTCTAAGAAAGGGTACCATTTCAGGTACATATTGTACTTTGACTTTGACTTTGACTTGTTGTTACTTGTACTCTCAAGGTTAAAAATAGTGTGTACTACTTTAACTTGTACAGAATATGTGTATTATATACCTTTGGGAACTTTGATTTAAAGAGTAATCAATAGTTGTTGAATGTGTTTATTGTTGAATGTGTTTATTGTTAAGGAGTAATTAATAGTGGTAAAATGTGTAAAGTTTATTAGTATAAGGAGTAATTAATAGTTTGAGTAGTCTGATTTGTATAAAATAGTATAGCTCTAAAGGGTAACACTTTTTGGTGGGAAATTAGAACGTGTTTAAGGTATGAACTCTATGAAATTAGGAAGGTTTGAAATAAGGTTGAATGTTGTATCTAAGTTATTCCAACATTAAATACCCACACGAGATATGAAGCTTGAATCTACTTGATTTTTTTTTAGTGGCCAGGACAACTTGGCAGAGTTAAGGTAGACCCTGCCATAGACACATGAGCTACTAAGTCAGGACTTCACACTCCTCAACATTTGTTTTAGAGAGCAATATCTCTAGTCGTTAAGAGGAAATAATGGGCACACACGACGATATATTGAACATTAAGAGTTGATCCAGATAGTTATTAAAAAGAAAAAAAAACATGCATACATGTAGAAACAAGGGTTCCCTCAAGCATATGAACCAATAAGGCAAGGTTAAAAGGTTTTCTCGGAGTTCGACATAGTTGTGTGAGTTAGAAAGATGTTGTTGGGCTCACTAATTTCCCATAGCTCAAGTAATTTTTATGAATTAGATATTTAACAAGGTTTCTAAACATGGTTTATAATAGTGTTCATATCGATTATAGGAGGCTAATCAGAGACAAAAAAGATAACAAGATGAGCCCTTAAGCCAACTTGATACCTCTATATAATGAGCGTTATACCAAACTCTCCGATGTAGAGTCTTGGTTGAACAAAAGTATTTTCCTTAGACATTGAATATTATAGAATATGGTCTGGTGAACCATTTTAAAGGAGGAACAAATTGTAGTTTGTCTAGACTTATTTAGAGATATAAAGTTGTAAGTTTCCTAGCTTTGACAAGGTAGAAGGTTTGTTGAAAAGTTTTGAGTTTAACTCATTCAATACATGCGATCACAACTCGCACTTACAATGAGTTTGTGAGAAGAGATTTCAAAAGTTAAGGAATTTGCTGGCCTTAGTTATAGTATAAGGATGTACTAGATGATATATGAAGGTAAGTAAGATTTAATGATGTTATGAAGAGATGACTAGTTAGAGTATTAAGACAACTCAAAAAGTAAGTATCCAAATTCATATTTACCAAACGAACATGAGATTATTTTCCTCATCCTTAATGTGAATACCACACTAAATTACTGATACATAGTGAGTGAATCCCAAGTTGGTTAACTTCTTCAACGTGGTAGGTCACATAGATAGTTGTTAAAGGATATGCCCAAACCGTTGGTTAGTGAATCTGATGGGTACTCAAAGGTTCAACAACTTAGAGATTATGTCATGGAATTCTTTATAGGTTTACATAAGATAACAAAAGGACACACTACCATTCGAGTAGTGGTGGGCTGTTGCACTCACAAGCTTACACATGTACTTTGGATAAAGTCTCGACCTTATGGGATATACGCAAAACTTTTTCATGTTTTAAAACTACGTTATTTCTTACTTTCTTGTTTTAAATTAAATGTGTAAGTCTATGACTTCTTTTGAAAATGTATCATTTCAATGTCCGCATATGTTAATTAAGGCATGCATGTTTGACACCTCTAATTAAGGTAAGAAATTAGGGGTGTTAATGTTGGTATCAGAGCCAGACAGTGAGTGGTGTACTGGGGAGAACGAATAACAGTGTATGCATTGATTTTCATTTAGTAGTTGACAAATGCATTTTTAGATCTCACATTGGTTGGAGAAGAAAACAAATCATTATTTATAAGGGTGTAAAAATCTCTCCATAGAAAAAAGCATTTTAAACCCTTGAGCAGAAGCCCCAAAGGAAAAGTCAAAATAGGAGAATATTTACTAGTGGTGGGCTTGGGCGGTTACAAATCGTATTAGAGCCAGACATCGGGCGATGTGCTAGCGAGGATGCTTGGGCTTGAAAGGGGTTGGATTGTGAGATCCCACATTGATTGGAGAAAGTAACGAGTACCAACAAGGATACTGAGTCTCGAAAGAGGATGGATTGTGAGATCCCACGACAGTTGAAGAGGGGAACATTCTTTATAAGGGAGTGAAAATTTCTCTATGCGTTTTAAAAACGTAAGGTAATCTCGAAAACCCGAAGAAGACAATATCTGCTAGCGATGAGCTTGGGCTATTACAATTTGCAAAGCCACGAGCACGTGTCATCATACAATACACAATTATAACCAAATGATGGTAAGACCACTTACTTGGTTAGCCTTCGAAGCAGCTACAACCATTTTACGTTATCTTAATGCTGGCCTCTAAATTTTAATTTTCCCTAAGAAGTCCAACAACCATAAATTAAAATTTTATTATGGAAATTAACTCACCTACTTTTGTATAAAGTAATTTAAACTTACTTATAAGTATATAAACTAACTAAACCTACCGGTACATTAATAATTTAAACTCGATTCTAAAAATTTAACTAGGCAAAAGATAGTCATACTAATTTAAGCTTCTGAAAAGTTGAAAGAAGAAAGTGTCCGAACGTATCAAACCCAAGCCGGATCAGCCAAAATATTAACCTAGAGCCGTCAAAAAATGTATTTTTCGAATGACTTTAAACAGTTCAAGTGGGCTTATAAAATGAAGTGATGGACCTCCCTTTTACCATGGGACAATATCATTAATTATCTTAAAAACATCTTTTCATGATACGGGGTTACAACACTACGAACTTTAAATATAATGTTTTAAAATGAAGTGATTGGCTAGATTAGGAGCTATTGATCTGCAAGTTGCATAAAACCTTTGGTCCATTAGCTCAGTTTGTTAGAACGTCGTGCTAATTAAGTGCGAAGGTAGCATGTTTGCCACTTGGATGGGTCAATTTAATTAATTCTCAAAGATATCTTTAATGATACGGGGGTAAAGCACTACAAACTTTAAAAGATAACGACCTAAAGTTTTAAGTTTATTATGCATAAAATTATGTAACCTAAACTCGATTGACTGGTTTAGGAGCTACTACTCTGCAATGAGTATAAAACTTGTGGCCTATTAGATTAGTTGGTTAGAACGTCGAGTTAATAACATGAAGGTTGGATGGGCTAATTTCATGATGACTTGAAATTAAAGAGTTTTAAGTTTTATTATGCATAAAATTATGTAACCTAAACTCGATTGGCTATATTAGGAGCTACTACAGGTTTGACACTTGCATGGTTAATTTCATTCCTTCTCAATAATGATATATTTAATGATACTAGATTTAAAATATAATCACTTATAGTTTTAAGTTTATTATGCATAAAATTATGTAAGCGAAACTTGATTGACTGAATGAGGAGCTATCGATCTACAATGTTCATAAAACCTATGGCCTATTAGCTCAGTTTGTTAGAATGTCGGGCTAATAATGTGAAGGTCGTTGGTTTGACACCTGCATGGGCCGATTTCATTTCTTCTTAATAATATCTTTTCATGATACGGGGTTACAACATTACGAACTTTAAAGATAATGACTTAAAGTTTTAAGTTTATCATGCAAAAAATTATGTAACCTAAACTCGATTTATTAAATTATGAGCTATCAATCTACAATGTGCATAAAACCTATGGCTTATTAGCTAAGTTGGTTAGAGCGATGTGCTAATATCGTGAAGGTTGCAGGTTTGACATCTCCATGTGCTAATTTCATTTATTTTTAATTATATCTTTTCATGATACGAGTTAAAACACTATGAACTTTAAAAGATAATGACTTTTTTAAGTTTATTATGCATAAAGTTATGCAAACGAAACTCGATTGACTGGATTAGGAGCTAACGATCTATAACGTGCATAAAACTTATGCCCAATTAGCTCAGTTGGTTAGATTGTTGTGTTAATAACGTGATGGTTGTAGATTCGACAAATTACATAGGCCAAATTTTATTAATTCATAATAATATCTTTTCATGATATGGGGTTACAACACTACGAACTGTAAACCGATAAGACCTGCGAGGTAACCTTTCTCATTCACAATTTTTCTTTAGTCGTTCGATATGTTCTTCTACGAAGAATGAAATTCGAGGATTTCTGAGGGTCCTTTTAGGAACAAGGAGGTAAATGAACTTATTTTGGCCGTTCGATATGTTCTTATACGAAGGATGAAATTTGAGGATTTCTGAGGGTCCTTTTAGGAACAAGAAGGAGGTAAATGAACTTATTTTGGCCGTTCGATATGTTCTTCTATGAAGGATGAAATTCGAGGATTTCTGAGGGTCCTTTCGGGAACAAGGAGGTAAATGAACTGACTTTGAAGGCCAGATTTAGTATTGCGACTCTCAGGAGAGAAAAATTTCCGGCAAGCCACATGTCAACTTGTTGGAGGGAAAGCGCGTTAGATAGCCTGAGGGACACGTATTGACGATTGGGTGGAATAACGCGTTATGCGCATTGTCAGGAGAAAATTTTTCGACAAGCCACGTATCAACTTGTGGGACAGAAAGCGCGTCAGATAGCCAGCAAGCCACGTATCAACTTGCGGGAGGAAAAGCATGTCAGACAGCCTGAGGGACACGTATTGACGATGAATGGAATAACGCGTCATGCGTGTTGTAAGGTGACGCGGCTCCACTCGATTTGCAACACGTGGTAGCTCTTCCAACCCATGCCCACATCTAACCCAGTTTGACTAGATAGATGTTTGACCCGATCAGTATGGTGCCAAGCTTCAATGTAAAGAATCTCACTTCCCAACGCACTCCTCCGATTTTGAACCCACCACTCATCAGTAGCTGACCTCTATCACTCCACACCTTCTTCAATTCTCTTCATAAGCTCACAAATTACCTTCTCATTCTCTTCCTTCTCCTGTTTGAGATAGAAACAACTCTCACTCAGCTCAGCCACTTTCTTTTCTAACCTTTCAATCTCCATTTCTAAAAGCTTTCTTTTCTTTTTTAATCTCTACTTTCTCCTTCAAAAGGCGCTCGTTCAGGAATTTCAACGTCTGCAACTGAGACTTCTCCACAAATTTATTAGCGGCAGATTTTGGTTGTTGCTCTAAATCTCTATTCTCCTTCTGATGATTTGGAAGTTTCTTTGGCTCGTTCGTCGATTGTGTGTTCAATCTAGATTCCTTCTTCGATTTTTTTGTCTCTAATATCGTGATTTTGCCAAATCTGCTGTGTATCCCCTCGTTTCCAATGGCTTCCACCGCTTCACAACTACGGCCATCATCTTTTTCTTCGCCATGTTCTTTCGCTTTTAGATCTTCATTTTGAGCCATCAAGAGAAGACCTTCGTTTGTTGTGTCATCCAAGGCTAGGTTGATTGTTTTTTTCCACCTTTTTATCGACTCGACAATTGTTTGCAAAATGCCCCTCTGCCATAATTGTAACATTTGTCAAAGTTACAATCGTTCGCATAGTGACCATATTTGTGACATTTGTAACACTGAATGTTGGAGTAAATTGATTGGCTGCCTCTTCCTCGACTGCGTCCTCTTCCATGCAAATTTGCTTGGCTCGATTGTCCCTTCTTCTTACAGTATCCTTCATGACTGCTGCCTTGACAATCATGACCATTTTTACTACTTTCGTGGCCAAAACCTCTACCTTCAAAATTTTGAGAGTAGAGTACCTTTTCATCTTTGATTCACGCCTTGGTTTGAAGTGCTTGATTGACTCCTTCATTTCAGTTGAGTTGTTGGTTAATGATCTTAAAATCATCTCCAAAACCCGCGTCTCGGCTAACATTTCTCCATTTTGGTTGAGTTGGTTTACCACAGTGTGTACATGCGTGACGTAGTCAAATACACTTTATAACTTCTTTATCTTCATGCTCTCCAACTTGCCACGAAGAGTTTTGAGACGCACTTGTTTGACTCGGTCGATTCCTTTGAACACTTTTCCTAAAGTGTCCGATGCTTCTTTTGAAGTAGTTGCACTGACAAGCTTCTCAAAGCCCGACACGTCAACGGCTCGGAACTACATGTAAAGTGCCCCCTCATCCTTTGATCGCATCTCTTTTAACGCCTTGTTTTATGCTGCTGTATAAACGAGGGTATCTTTTGGTTCTTCTAACTCTTCTTCGACCACCTCCTATGCATCTTGAGAACCAAGAAAAGCTTTCATATGAATGCTCTAATTCTCGTAGTTTGTCTTCATTAGTCGCGGTAGCGACATTTGACCCGTCACATTCGCCATTGGCTTGATACACATTTGTTAAACAAAACTAATAAATTTGTGAAAGAAGTCTCACACACACTAACGATAGAAGGAGACAATTCTTCATATAAAGATTCTTGGCCTTTCATCTTCAACACTCTTGGCCTTTCCCTCTAAGACTGACTCTTGATTTAAAACCCACTAAAATTCTCCATAAGGAATCCGATCCCTGCCACTTCCTTGCGATGAATCCCTTACCCTGATCCCCACACAAATAAATAGAGAATTTTATGGAAATGGAGAATGAAATAGATGGTGGGGATGATGACAGGGAATGGACATCTCTACCTGTGGCCCCTGCACATGTCGTGTTTTATGGTTGTATGACATATACTATGTTATGTATATGATATGATATACGATATGTTGCATACAAGTTATGCTATGATATCATATACACTATTCTAGGACTATGAGGCATTAGAAAATCGTGTATTGTTAATTATTAAAAATATGAAATGAATCAAGTATTTATATCTCATAGGAACACTATGCTAGGAATAGATTTGAGGTATGATTAGCGCCATGAATATATGTCATGCTTTGATGTTATGGGACCTCATGCATTTTGTATACCACGTGCATCGAGATACTTCTATATTATGTTTAGTACACCCTATGCCTATGAAACATTAGAAAAACCATGTATTGTTAATCATGAACAATATGACAAGAATCAAGTATGTATGTCTCATAGGAACGTTACGTCGTGTTTTAATGTTAGGGATCTCATGCATTTTATATGGGAGGTGCATCGAGATACTTCCCCATTATGATTAGTACAAACACATACCTTAAAATATTTATGTTCCGTATGATATTATGCTGGTCGTTTCCCTTCATGGTATTTGGTAGTGTGAGTGTGCACAAGCTCGACGACGCAAACCCATAGAGTACTCTTATACCAACCCACTTGGTGGTCAATGTGCACATTCATGAGTCGTGTGTAGGGAAGTACAACATATTCAACTCTGCTCGGACTGAAAAGCAAAGCCCAAGCCCATGCCACAATGTATTTCTGAAAGGATAGGTCCCACTACATTACACGTCATTCATATTCCGACCCTAAGAGTGGGATTACTTACTGAGTATTTATTAAAGTACTCAAACCACATGCTACTCTTATTTTAAAGTAAAGGTAAGATACCCATTTACGGATGACAACGTTGCGTTCAAGGCCAAGAAACCAAAGTTAGGGTAGTTGCATTCATGTTATTTTTAGTGATCCTTAGGTTAGATGAGGGCATTGCTTTATTTTTATTTAAACTAAAGTTATCTGTTTTCCACTATGTTGTTCATAACAATATTGTTTTAATGAGTTCATTATGAACATTTAAGTCCATAGCACCATTTATGAAATGTTGTAAATACATTCTTTCATGCATAGTAGTAATGTCATGTATGCCGTGACTATATTTTTTAATAGGAAAATAGAGTAGTTGATTATAAAAACCATGAATAAAAAGGGATAAAAATCTGTGTCCTCTGACAAGTGTAGATATTTTTTGCAGATTATCCAGAAAGTTCAATCTCAAAATCACAGTGATTCTGAAGCTCTCAATGCCAGTTTAAGCTTTCCCTATAAAGTTGAAAGTTTAGGTAACAGTTTCGAACAAGAATTGAGCTCTTTTCCAAAAGGCATAACAAGTTATTCATACAATTCAACCTTAGTTTTGAATTACATAGGCATAACAAGATTGTCGTGTTAAAAACGTGGAGGTCGTAGGTTCGAAAATTACATAGGCCAAATTTTATTAATTCTTAATAATATCTTTACATGATACGGGGTTACAACAGTACGAACTTTAAACCGACGATACTGTCGTTCACAATTTTTCCTTAGATCTGAGTCGTTCGATATTTTCTTCAATGAAGGATGAAATTCGAGGATTTCTGAGAGTCATTTCAGGAACAAGGAGGTAAATGAACATATTTTGGCCGTTCGATATGTTCTTTTACGAAAGATGAAATTCGAGTATTTCTCATTTCACGAACAAGGAGGTAAATGAACTCACTTTGAAGGCCAGATTCAGTATTGCGACTCTCATGAGATAAAATTTTTCAGTAAGTCACGTGTCAACTTGTGGGAAGGAAAACGCGTGAGAAAGCCGGCAAGCCACGTGTCAACTTGCGGGAGGGAAAGCGTGTCAGACAGCCTGAGGGACACGTATTGACGATTGGGTGGAATAACGCGTCAGGCGCATTGTTAGGCAAGAAAGTCAATGGCCTATTAGCTTAGTTGGTTAGAGCATTGTGCAAATAACGTGGACGTCGCAGGTTTGACACTTGAATGGACCAATTTCATTCATTTTTAATTATATCTTTTCAAGATACGAGTTAAAACACTACGAACTTTAGAAGATAATGACTTTTTTAAGTTTATTATGCATAAAGTTATGTAAACAAAACTCGATTGGCAGTATTAAGAGCTAACGACCTATAAGGTGCATAAAACCTATGCCCAATTAGCTCAGTTGTAAGATTATTGTTTTAAAAACGTGGACGTCGTAGGTTCGACAATTCCATAGAACAAGTTTTTTTAATTCTTCATAATATCTTTTCATGATACAGGGTTACAACAGTACGAACTTTAAACCGATGATACGGCCGTTCAAAATTTTCTTTAGATCTGAGTCGTTCGATATGTTCTTACATGAAGGATGAAATTCGAGGATTTCTGAGAGTCATTTCAGGAACAAGAAGGAGGTAAATGAACTTATTTTGGCCGTTCGATATGTTCTTTTACGAAAGATGAAATTCGAGTATTTCTCATTTCACGAACAAGGAGGTAAATGAACTCACTTTGAAGGCCAGATTCAGTATTGCGACTCTCATGAGATAAAATTTTTCAGTAAGTCACGTGTCAACTTGTGGGAAGGAAAACGCGTGAGAAAGCCGGCAAGCCACGTGTCAACTTGCGGGAGGGAAAGCGTGTCAGACAGCCTGAGGGACACGTATTGACGATTGGGTGGAATAACGCGTCAGGCGCATTGTTAGGCAAGAAAGTCAATGGCCTATTAGCTTAGTTGGTTAGAGAATTATGCAAATAACGTGGACGTCGCAGGTTTGACACTTGAATGGACCAATTTCATAGATCAAGTTTTTTTAATTCTTCATAATATCTTTTCATGATACGGGGTTACAACAGTACGAACTTTAAACCGGTGATACGACCGTTCAAAATTTTCTTTAGATCTGAGTCGTTCGATATGTTCTTACATGAAGGATGAAATTCGAGGATTTCTGAGAGTCATTTCAGGAACAAGAAGGAGGTAAATGAACTTATTTTGGCCGTTAGATATGTTCTTTTACGAAAGATGAAATTCGAGTATTTCTTAGAGTCTTTTCACGAACAAGGAGGTAAATGAACTCACTTTGAAGGCCAGATTCAGTATTGCGACTCTCATGAGAGAAAAATTTTCGGCAAGCCACGTGTCAACTTGTGGGAAGGAAAGCGCGTGAGAAAGCCGGCAAGCCAAGTGTCAACTTGCCGGAGGGAAAGCGTGTCAGACAGCCTGAGGGACACGTCTTAACGATAGGGTAGAATAACACGTCAAGTGCATTGTCAGGCAAGAAAATCTATGGCCTATTAGCTCAGTTGGTTAGAGCGTTGTGCTAATAACGCGAAGGTCGTAGGTTTGAGACTTGCATGGGCCAATTTCCCTCATTTTTAATTATATCTTTTCATTATACGAGTTAAGCCACTGCGATTTTTAGAAGATAATGACTTTTTTTAAGTTTATTATGCATAAAGTTACGTAAACGAAACTCGATTGGCTGGATTAGGAGCTAACTATCTATAATGTGCATAAAATCTTTGCCTAATTAGCTCAGTTGTAAGATTATCGTGTTAAAAACGTGGAGGTCGTAGGTTTGACAATTACATAGGCCTAGTTTTATTAATTCTTAATAATATATTTACATGATACGGGGTTACAACACTACGAACTTTAAACCGATGATACGGCCGTTCACAGTTTTTCTTTAGAGGATTTATGAGAGTCATTTCAGGAACAAGAAGTTGGTAAATGAACTAGTTTTGGCCGTTCGATATGTTCTTTTATGAAAGATGAAATTTGAGAATTTTTTAGAGTCTTTTCCCGAACAAGGAGGTAAATGAACTCACTTTGAAGGCCAGATTCAGTATTTCGACTCCCATGAGAGAAAATTTTTCGTCAAGCCACGTGTCAACTTGTGGGGAAGGAAAGCGTGTGAGACAGCCGGCAAGCCACGTGTCAACTTGCGGGAGGGAAAGCGTGTCAGACAGCCTGAGGGACACGTATTGACGATTTGGTGGAATAACGCATCAGGCGCATTGTGAGGTGAGAAAATCTATGGCTTGTTAGCTTAGTTGGTTA